TCTCCTTTAAGGGAAATCAGAAGGGCTGGGGGATGAAGGCTTGCTAAGTAAACAGCTTTAGGAGTACTCACCTATGTAGTTTCTATCCACAGGCTAGAAAAACTAGCGCACCCCTTTTGAGAAGATCTAAAGTCTGCTACTTGCAATTACACTTACACAATACCAATTGTAGCACCTGTGCCGCTCATCTGCTCATTTAATTTTCCCCATAGCTGTTTGAAGGAAGGCATTTGCTCACAGACAAAATTTGATAAACTTGCCTAACACTTGGTTCTCCAACCACTATATTGGGTTACTAGGAATAATTAGTGACTCCCTGCATGCAACAGCACTAGAGGGAAAAATTACACATTTTCCACAGGAACTGCCATTAACAAAATACTTCAAGAGAGACTAAAGCAGAAAATCCTCTCATTGATGACAGGTATGCAGGCTATAAATAAAATTAGTTAACACCAAAAACATACTTTAGATTTATTACAACCAATAAAAAGGCTTTAATTCCTCTTATTATGTATATTACTCAGCACAGTACATAACGCTATAATTATGTTATTTGCTTTCAGTCTAAATGTAAACAAGGAAAGAAAAAAAAAAATCAGCAGCCTTTGGTCAGACTAAAGGGCATATTTATAAAGACATTCACCACGTATTCACCCTAGTTATAGGATTGGATTAGGCTTCAAAAGAAACCTGCAATGAGAAAAAAAAAAATATAGGTCTTGTTCACCTCCCATCTGAAAACACTTGGCTACTGAAATGAACTTGAAAACAGGCATGAAGATTAAGTTTTCTCAGTTTAATATGACCTTCTTCTCTGCATCAGTTTCAAGTCAGTGGCTCAAGATATTGATGACAGAGACGTCCAGACAGCTCGCATTCTCAGAGTCAGCCTCTGTATTTTTCCCATTGCAGTTTCCCCATACAGGTTTCAAGGACGCTAGATTTTCCTCTTATTACTAAACTACTCTGCTATTCACCTTATTTTTAAAATGGCAAATATGACCTTTTTCATTTTGTACATTCACTTAGCTGAAATTACGTCTTTAAAAGGCATTTCAAAGCTTTGTAATATAGAACCTGCAAACTCAGCACTTGCTAAGCACATCAACCTGCTACCCCAAAACTTCCAAACAGATGTTGCTAGGCAGTTCATTGGTGTAAGCAGGCTCTTTAGAAGCTCAAAAGATGGTTAATTATCACATCTTAAGATCTGCTGCTTTTTCAGTGAAACTAGTGAGGAGGAGTCTCAAAGCCTCAGTTACCTTGTTTAGCCCGCTAGGTTGAATGAAAAAAAAAAAAAAAAAATACTTCTAGTGTGTACCCTGCTTAGGCTCCGATAGTCTTGTCTACTTGGTGATTGTGCTTTTTCTTAAGACAAAACTATCTGATGCTGAAGTAGTGCAAAGGGTATCAGCAATCTCAGCCTTCTACCAAGAACATTTTTAAGGCCTTGTCAGGGAGGATCTAGAACTGCAGATGTGTAGGAACAGGGCTTTGACTTTGCTGTGCATGCTGCTTGTAGATTTTGTACTTTGCAGGGAATGCCACATTCAGATGTATTGGCTTCAGTCAGCTCCACTTCTCTAGCATGATTTTTGGATAAGGTTCTGAAACATGAACAAACATGTTTTTTCAAATGAAGAATACATGTTACACATGTTCCCAGAGCAGCAAGTTAAAGCAGTACAAAACAGATTGCTTCAATAACCCCCCAAAGTAACATGGTTTGGCCGCAAAAAAAACTGCATTTCTTGTCTGCTGCACATCATGTTCAATGCATTATACACGAAGGAATGTATAATTGTAGAAGGGCAACAATAATATAGTGCACTTCTACAGAAGACAAAATAAAACAGTCATAGTTTTGATTTGATCCACAATTCATATTGATATGCAGTACTTGTATGTTCTCCCTGGGCCTAGTATATGTGCGAGTATATATGCATGTGAAATAAGGACATTTCGTTGTAAGCTCCTTGAGGGCAGGGGCTGATGTAAATGGGCAGTATATAAAGCACTGTGTAACCTGTTGGCGCCATATAAATACCTGTAATAATAAAAGAAAATGTTAAAAAAGGTTTTTAGGATCATAAAAACCATTATGAATTATTAGTACTATATAAAGTCATATACCAATTTGTATCATGTAAAAATGTATCTTATAAAATCTCAAAAAAAGAATTTCCAAGGCCAGATACTTATTAGATTGAGCTAAACAGAACCTTCTCTATTCTGTGCCATTTGAAAAATATTCACAGCAGATGAAAAAGGTCTCTACTGTACATTTGAGGTTTGCCAGTAAAAATTTCCAAACACATTCCCCACATTATAGGTGCACAAATGTTACCAGCAAATGTGCCACAAATCCAGCACAGAAAACGTGCCTAGATTAGCCAGGTCTTTATAAATATGCCCCCATTAATGAATGAAACCTTTAAATAATCAGTGAGTTATGAGCATATCCACAGAAAGCTGGGCAGTGCTGTAATGTTTACATGTTTTTCCACTACAACAGAACCTCAATCACGGCAATCACACAGATTCCTGAGCTGAATCCAAAACAAAGCATTATCTCTGCAGGGGACGAGGATTCCTGAGTGGAGTGGAATCCAGCAAGAGAACTGGTTCATCGCTGTGGGGTCCGGATTGGGAGGTGGATCACAAGTAACAGAACTTGTTCATTGCTGCAGTCTATACAGATTCCTGAGGCAGATATCCAGAATCAGCACCCTCATGAACAAAATGTTAGAGGATTAAGTACCAGAAGACAGATAGCATCCCCTCTAATAAGTGCTTTGCTTGCGTCTTTGTTCATGTTTTAATGAATACATGTAAGAGAGGAGGCAAGTACAGCCTTTTAAACGTAAACATAACTAACGTCCATGCTGCTACAGTTACAGTCCAATATAGATTCCAGATTTCAGCCGAAAAATATATATCAACTCCAAAAGAAGCACTGAATCCAATGATTGCCCCTGTGTAATCAGCGACTGATCTGCATAAAAATGTGTCATCTGACCTTAAACGAACATGTAACAAGTGCCATATGCATTTCTTGGGGAAAGGGTTTGAATATTAAGAAAACAAAGGATATGTATCAGAAGCTTGTAGGCCTGCCATCCTCCTCTCATTAAACCAACTGTCAGTTCATGGCTTATTTAAACCCGTAAAAGTAGAAACAAGTTCTAGCACAGTCTTGAAAGGTCCTAGATGAGGAAGGCTAGTGAGAAGAAGAGCTTCCAGAATTCTGTGTCTGTTCTCCTGTTTCCTCGCTGCCAGGATCATCTGCAGAGGAAGAAATCATTATATGTTACACAAACGCTGCTACACCAACCCCAGTACATTCACTAGTTCAACGATCATAGCCTGAGAACCTAAAGTTTCATCACTACATTTCAGGCCTACGTGGGGCTCCAGCGTTAAGGTGCAGGTAGAAGTCACAGATGCACCACCCAGCACCATTGCTAGCCTGTAAAACTATGAGAAGCTGACCGGGTTTGGTCAGGGCATCAACCAGTACAAGCATTTAGGGCAAAATTCTCCCAGGGACTAATACCAAGGCAAGAAGTCTGCTTGAGGCCTTAGACTGGAACCGCATTGCATGCCAGCACCACAGACTAAAAATGCTATTTCATTTATTTTTTAAATTCAAAGCCAACTTCCCCTTCCATGCTTTATTTTGCTGAGAAATTATTTTGAAAAAACATCCCCCTGGCATTTCTGGCAGTGGCCATCTTGAGGTGGCGAAATGATTCGTGAATCATTTACTTCCTAGAATCCATCTTCCCTTAGCTCAGGGATAGGCTGAGCAGAGAACCCTCCCTCCTTTCCTGGAGACTCATGGGATGTATGACATCATTTGCCTAGGCATGGAAACCAAGAAGCAACTGAAGAAATGTTAAAAAAAAAAAGTTTTAAACACATAAATATAATATACCTTCCTATCTATTTACTAATGCAAGCAGCATAAGGATTAAACATAGTCCATGTTGACTGAGAGGGTGAAGTTCCACTTTAAGTGTAAATGTTGTTCTAGGCTTGTTTTCCAGGAAAGTACACTCAAGAATCTTGGCTACAATTACATGCATTGCAAGAATGTCGCATGTGCAATTACATTCACAACAGAGAGAACTGTGCATTACCAATAGCAACCAACCATATAGGCAAGTGATTTACATATCAGAACATCAAGCCAAAATATGGCAAGAAGATAAAGATTTCCTTTTAAATAATTTTAGATAATATAAACCTAAAAGGAATTAAAATGGTATTGAACCCCCAAAAAATTTTATATATTGCAGGTTCTGAATTCTTAAATGATACGTCAATCTCCTGTTCCTATATCAAACAGATGACGCCAGGAAAGAAAGCACATTCATCCTAGCATGGTCAGTTTTCATCTTTGAATTCTACTTGGGAGAACAGCCTGCCTGTAATCCAGTGTTCAGACATTTGCTGACATCCGCCCCCACAGATCTTTACCCAGAAGATCAGTGTTCTGGTCTCCCCATTGCTTCCTGCTGACGCCCCTCCTGCACAGCTGGCCACTGCAAGGGTAGATTTTGTTGAATCCTTGGAGCTGGGCTTTAAGACTGCTAAGCAGCATTTGTGAAATGTGAACAGTCACTGGCTATTTCCTAATAATGACAGCCACAGCATATTTTATTTTAACTGAAGATGGATAGTTTGAGCTATTACAACACATTCATGGCCATTCACCAATTTTCCCTCTAGGAGGTCGTGTTTATAGTGAGCTCTGTCAAACTACTCTTCTGTAAATCCACTGGAGGTTTTCAAAGTGTTCCTGGCAGGGGACATACGGTCAATTCTGACTTTTTAAACATGCTGAAAGTTGTTTTGTAACAGAGCAAAGATCACATATTCACCAAACTTAACTCTATAAAAGCTTGTTCTATCAGGGAACTGAATAAATTAAAAGTATATGGTTTTCAGAAGGGGAAAAAAAAAAAAAATGGGGATATTTGTTCAGTTGGTTATCAGTCACCTATGCTGCCAAATAGAAGTGAAAACACCTCTAAAAATCTAAGATACGAAAAGAAGAAAAAAAAAAAAAAAAAAAACAACTCGTCAGGAGCAAAGCACTCACCAAGCAATGCCGTAGTCTCCCCTGCATCCTCCTTGGCAATACTACACTGTTGTAGAGTGTCACCTGTTGAAGAAGTAGGCAGGTTGTTTATTTCACTTCGGTTCTCCTCTTGGGCAAAACTTAAAGTCCCCACTGAGAGGCTGCTGCCAGCAATGGATTCAGGCACAGGGATTTCCAGAGGTTCTTCAGGCTCCACCTGTAATATTTTTATGGAGACTTAATAAGGCTGATACAGAAATATCAAGCTCAGAGTTAAAGTGATACTAAACACAGACTGTTTAACCACTTTCTCTCCAGAGAATTCACCCCCCTTCCTGACCAGGCCACATTTTGGAATACGGCGCTGCGTTATTTTAACGGACAATTGTGCAGTCATGCATCGCTGCACCAGAATGAAATTTATGTCCTTCTTTCCCCCCCACAAATGGAGCTTTCTTTTGGTAGTATTTGCTTCTGCGTTTTTTTTATTTTTTACGCTATAAACAAAAAACAGACTGACAACAATTAAAAAAAAAATAAACTATATATATATTTTTTTTTTTTTTTTTGTTTTGTTTTTTTTTTTTTTGACTTTTTGCTATAAAACATCCAGTAAAAAAAAAAATAAATAAAATTTCATCATAAATTTAGGCCAAAATGTATTCTGCGACATGTCTTTGCACGTATTAGGATTTTTTTTTTTTAGCAAATTAATTGGTTTACATGAAAGTTATAGCATCTACAAATGGCGGTATATATACACTGGAATTTCTTTTTTATACTAGGAATGGAGGCAATCAGCGAAGGGGTTTAACATCTGGGCCGATTAAAGGTTTAACTGTGTGCTGTTTTACTGTGTGTGCTTCACTATGTAAGCATGCTGATAGTTTATGATGTGGGTTTAGTAACAATTTAACACTGATACGGATAGCATATTCCTATGTTGCATTAGTATCTCCACACACAAAAGGTAGAAGACAGAGCTGCAGCATAGTTAGATTACATGACAGCAATACAAATTTGACAAAAGGTTTTAAAACCTCTTGACTCTATCCAAAACAAAACATTTTGTAGGAAGTTATGCTGTAAAGAGGATATAATCATTTATCGCTCCCCTGATTTGCAAATGTATGAATCAGGTACTGCTTTCCTTAGGCAGTTCAGCACATTACTGAACTATCACTGCTCATCAAGCACAATCAACTATTTACAATCCTGAATAAGCCAATCTCCTGATGTTCCATATTTGAAGTTAAACCACCAAAGTTGGGGTAGCCAGATTCTTGAGTAGATGGGCAGAGCAACCAGTTAGCATCAATCTTTCAGTTTCAAAACTTAACTGAATGCTTTGAAGACAGAAGCTGATTTGTTGCCATTACACAGCTGCTAAAGATTCTGTCAGCTCCAGACATAATAAAATTCCCCCCCATTGAGATCCAATACACAAGAGCTGCATACATGTACTGGTGTAGCCCTCAAAAAATAAAAATAAAATCCCATCTGAACAACACCAAATAGATAACTATGGTATAATCAAGGATTGTTCTCCACAGAAAAATATTAGTTCCACTCTAGGCTGAAGACAAATATTATGGCAAGGTTTCCTATCCAGATTCCTTTAAGTGTATCTAAACCCAAAAACTAAAATGTAATATACTGCAGCCTACCAGTTCCTAGATGGGATGGCTGCAATGTTTGTTTTTTCAGCATTTTCCCTTTACTGTGAATAGGTTATCAAGGGGATGATTTGATCCCTTTGATAACGTGCTGGTGCACGAAACACGTCAGAGAGGAACCTACCATAGTGACGTCACGCCGCAGACGACGGCAAGGAAGGCCGACGGCCATTTTAGAAAGTCTATATCACATGTGAGTGCTTTTCAGTTCCCTACCTTACTGGATTTTGAATAAAAATACTACACTATCAGTACCTATTTGTCTCTGGCTTGGTATACACGAGCACCTAAGGTGGAGATTTCCCCAATTCTGGATGTTTCTGATCTGGTGGTCTGACACTTGCTTGGAGCTGTGTCCCTGAGAGCAGGGAATGTCCTGTGAGTGACTGGAGTTGCCTTGTGTGCCTATGGTGTGCCAGATGAGTGCGCTACCCTCGCCGTGACCCAGATGACCACTGGTGGGTGCATGTATGTATATGTGTGTATATGTATATATATATATATATGTATATATATATATATATATATATATATATATATAGATAGATATATAGATAGATATATAGACAGATATATGATAGATATATAGATATATAGACAGATATATATATATATAGTATATATAGAGATCACCAGCACGGAGCACCTTCATATTTGGACTTTATTTGCATTTATATCATTTATAAGATGCACTATAGTCACTTTATATTTATATTTATTGACTTTATCTGGAAGATACATCACTATATGACGACTCACCATTATACCCCTTTTTAGCGCTGCATAAGTGCCCACTTCTTATAATTCACTAATATTGTTGTTTATATCATTTTTTAGGGCTGCATTTATATTTATATTGGATTATTTGGAGGTCATAGAGGTTTAACTTGTATGCCAGCTGCTTTTCTGATCTTGCGCTCGCATACATCTTTACTATATAATTTGACCATCATTTTTGGTAAAGTCAAACAAAATAACCAGTGCAGTGGGATAGCAGAAAAATGATCTCTGCTAGAACCAGGTAATTAAAAAAATGACCCTTGAATGCACAAAGGTGCCATACAATCAGTGTAGCTACAAATTTAATACAGAAAAAAAAAAAAAAGTAATGTAATCCAAGAAATCTTAAAATATTTATGAAGACTATGTACCGTTTATTGTGGTTTTCATGTACTATGTTGTAAGATTGTGACCTTATGATCACAGTAAGATGAAAGGTATGCTGAAGTTCCAATGAACTGCTGTGTGCCTGCCATTGCTGGAGGGGGAAGTAACACAAAGGCCCTCATGAACAATGAACAGATGCTCTTCAGAGTCTAGAAGGGTTTCCTGAGCAAGAATTGCCTTGTTTAATCCCTTCATGTAATTTCACTTCAAACAACTTTCTCAACCACAGCTATTTCACTTAATTCATCAGCACAGATGGCAGTTGATTTTACCTGGAAGCAAACAAACCAGGGATTTTATTGAAAGCAGACCTCTTTTTTTTTAAATCTTCACAAGCTCTATTATACCACAGGCCATGTGTTCCATTTTCTAGAAGACACATGGAGAAGAACCATCAGATGCCAACTTGTACAGCTACATGTAAAAGGGAAGGCAAAATTTGCTCCGCTGCATATTTATGTTTGGTGAACCTGAAGCTTGCTCATCTGGTGAATAGCCATCATACAAATTGATAAAACAGCAACATTCGCTTTTGTGTCATTTTAAAGAAAATCTAAATTTTTTTTTCTTTTTTTGTTACAGTCCTGTCTTCTACATACAAATTACAAGTAGTACTTAGCCCAATGTTGTGAAGTGCCTCCTAAAGCTGGCCATACACACTTTGAAATTCGACTGGTTGAATTTTGATCCGGGTATGGGCAGGCTGGTTGTACACAAGTCAATCTATTGATCAACTTGTGTACAATGGTCCTGTCCGGTTTTGCCCGAATGATCAGTGCCAACATTGATCAATGTATTGTGACAGCAGGAAAGGCTCCCTGAGTTCAGAGTACTATACCACCGCGGGAAAGATTTGATGTGAATGGAGGAATCTGACCTTTTTTGTTGTTGTTCAAACACGAAAAAAAAAAGGGGGGGGGGGGGAAAATCAATTTATGGGCTTTCTAACCCTAGTTAAAAAAGGTCCAACTTACCCCTTCCCCTCCTGCCGTGGCCAGCCCAAGCTTTGAAGAAAATGGCTGATAGAGGCAGCACTTATAAAATCAGCTGTCTCCATCAAAGCTGTTGTCGGATCAGGACCAGCAGGAGAAGAGGGGGCAGGTCAGACCTCATAACTAGGGTTAGGAAACATTTAGTTGCATGGGACAAAGTAGTACTTGTACTTTATCCCATACAGTAAAGGAGTGTAATAAATACATTATGATAGAATCTTCATTAAAAGTTTATTTATTTAGGTACATAGATAATGCCTAAGCTTCAACATTATACATCCCTCTTCTACTTGTAGATAGGCCAGGAAAAGTGGATGAAGGAAGACGATGAGTACGATGCTAAATAAGCTCAGATGGTTTTTTTTTGTATTTTAGGCTAAAAGTCCCTTAGGGGATGGCCTTCGATAAAGAGATTGGCATACATGTGGTTGCAGTAACTGAAGAAGATGGTTTCCACATAAAAGCACATAGAAAAAAGGGAGCTTAATTTTCTTCCAGTTTTGTTGCTTTAGACAATCTTCACTTAAGATCACCACATGTAACGATCTGATTGTAAAAACTCCTCTATCAACATCTATGTAGTTCAAGAGCACGCCTGAATGGATACAAATTGATTGGATAGTTTAAGTAGAGGTTTTGGTAAACCTAAAGTTGATTTTACAAATATTGTTCTGTCAGAGTCTAACATGTATAGTGACCCTTAACCACTTCAACCCAAGGACATAATATGACGTCCTTAGGGTGGGAAGTGGTTACACTGGTATGTCTGTATCTGCAGGCATCATCCCTGTATCATAATTTTAAGCAGTCAATTCAGTTTTGCAAAAGTGATATAATGCCGGTCAAATCACTTCCACAGGCAGCAGAAGGGGGTCTTTGGATGCACATAGCCCAGCCTGGGAGCGCACGTGCGTGGATGCCCCCTTAGCACCTAGCTTTCTGAGAGGGCACGCAAAAATGAAAAATCAGACAGTACTGGCAGGGGGCTAGGGCACGGAGCAGGCAAATATAACTTCTTTTTTATTTTAAGAAAATAAAAAGCCTTTACGATCACTTTAAAGGAAATGGAAAGCTGAAATGGAGCTCTACCAACATTAAGCAGAGGGCACAATGAAATAAAACAGAATGTTAATTATGTTGTGGTGGTAAAAGATGGCAATAGTAGTTCTGCAGCTATGCTTTTTCTTACAGCAGTAGGATGAGATAGTGGTAGTAACAAAAGCAGCAATGTATGACGGGTGTCACCCTCATTTTGCTACAGATTGTGTTAGATATTGGTTACGTTGCACTTCTATGAACCAGAGCCAGCCGAAAACTGACGTCAGAGTTGCTCCAGAACCTAGAACGATTCCAACCATATTATCGGGATCCAGCCAGCTACCATAATAACAGCTGGCTCTAGCTCCAAAGCCAGCTGTGCCAGTCCTCCTCTCCAGCTGAAGGGAAAGAACGGAGAGCAGTGACAGACAGTCACCGCATTCTGCTCAGAGCTGACCGAGAACTGAGCAATCAACAGTCACCTGATCGCTCAGTTCTCGGTCTTAGAGCCGGCAACAGTCAGCTGCAGCCTGAAAGGGAGTATCAATGTTTGTTTTTTTGGATACCCAAACTATTCCAATGCTACACATTCTATAAAGAAAAATGTATGAATTGAGCAAATGAGGAAATGTGACAGCAAATGGAACTGTTCATGTTAATTCCAACCAAGGCAGTATATATCTCCTCTGCTGTAGAATGCACCTCCCTCTCTGTTATTGTAAATTATATAAATATTTATGTATGCCAAAAAAACTGCAAAAAAATAAAATTTTAAGTAAACATTATACCAAGAACTTCAAAATGTGTTCCCACAGGACAACTTAGCCATGGTTCACAAAGAATGCAGCTTTGAAATCCTGCTACTTCAGCTGAAGTAGTGCAATTTCATATGCGTCTTGCCAACATCTGTGTGACTTCTTGCACAGAGGTCGATGTACGTTGTACATGAAAATTGGCAAAAGTAGTGTGGGAACCTTTAAAAAAAAAAAAAAAAAAAAAAAAAAAAAAATATCGGTGCAAGTTTATACCACACTGCTTTGAACTATTCCATAGGCACAAAAAGGGTGTGATTTGTCATGCGATTTTGAACTGTCAAATGGCAAATCCTATTGGTGTGAATTGGGTTTAGGATAGGTTCACCACTGCTGCAATATGATTCTGATCCAACTTTCAGTGCAATTATGTAGAGCTACTTGGATACAACTTTGATAAGGTTTGTATACAGTGAAAGAAATAAGTATTTGATCCCCTGCTGATTTTGAACGTTTGCCCACTCACAAAGAAATGGTCAGTCTAAAAATCGAATGGTAGGTGTATTGTAACACAGAGACAGAATAGCAACAAAAAATTCAAAAGAAATGCATGTCTAACAAATTATGCACTGATTTGCATATTCATGAGGGAAAGAAGTATTTGATCCCCTATCATTCAGCAGGTTTTCTGGCTACCAGATGTCTTTCATACAAATAACAAGCTGAGATTAGAAGCTGCTAATCTAATGTTGTTACCTGTATAAAAGACACCTGTCCACCACAGGAGCAATCAAACAATCAGATTCCAAACTCTCCACCATGGCAAAGACCAAAGAGCTGTGCAAGGATGTTAGGGACAAGATTGTAGACCTACACAAGGCTGGACTGGGCTACCAAACCATCTTCAAGCAGCTTGGTGAGAAGGTGATAACAGTTGGTGCAATCATTCACAAATGGAAGAAACACAAAACAACTGTCAGTCTCCCTAGGTCTGGTGCACCATGCAAGATCTCACCTTGTGGAGTGTCAATGATCATGAGAACAGTGAGGAATCATCCTAAAAGTACACGTGAGGATCTTGTCAATGATCTCCAGGCAGCCGAGACCACAGTCACCAAGAAAGCAATTGGTAACACACTACGCCGACAAGGATTGAAATCCTGCAGTGCCTGCAAGGTCCCTCTGCTCAAGAAAGAGCATGTCCGGCCCGTCTGAGGTTTGCCACTGAACATCTGAATGATGCAGAGGAGGACTGGTTGAAAGTGCTGTGGTCAGATGAGACCAAAATCGAGCTCTTAGGCATCAACTCAACTCGCCATGTTTGGAGGAGGAGGAATGCTGCCTATGACCCCAAGAACACCATCCCAACTGTCAAGCATAGTGGTGGAAACATTCTGCTTTGGGGGTGTTCTGCTAAAAGGACAGGACAACTGCACTGTATCAAAGGGATGATGGATGGGGCAATGTACCGTCAAATCTTGGGTGAGAACCTTCTTCCCTCAGCCAGGGCATTGAAAATGGGTCGTTGATGGGTGTTATAGCATGACAATGACCCAAAACACATGGCCAAGGCAACAAAGGAGTGGCTCATGAAGAAGCACATTAAGGTCCTGGAGTTGCCTAGTCAGTCACCAGACCTTAATCCGATTGAAAATCTGTGGAGCGAGCTGAAAGTTCGAGTTGCCAAACGTCAGCCACCAAACCTTAATGACTTGGAGAGGATCTGCCAAGAGGAGTGGGCCAAAATCCCTCCTGAGATGTGTGCAAACCTGGTGGCCAACTTTACAGGAAACGTCTGACCTCTGATTGCCAACAAAGGATTTGCCTCAAAGTACTAAGTCATGTTTTGTGAAGGGGATCAAATGCTTATTTCCCTCATGAACATGCAAATCAGTGCATAATTTGTTAGACATGCATTTTTGAATTTTTTGTTGCTATTCTGTCTCTGTGTTACAATACACCTACCATTCGATTTTTAGACTGATCACTTCTTTGTGAGTGGGCAAACATTCAAAATCAGCAGGGGATCAAATACTTGTTTCCTTCCCTGTATTATATGGGGCCAAAAATCACACTGGAATTTCACCACAGTAATATAGAAACCTTTTACAAAATTGAGCCATGTTGAGTCGCATAGATGTAAATAGGCAATATTGAAAAAAAAAGCAATTTCCTTTGTTATGCACTTCTGTGCGACTCAAGTTGCATCTGAAATCGCACTAGTGTGAACCAGGCCTCAGGGCTGGTTCACACCTGAAATCGCTCAAAACACGGTGCGCATTAATGTGCAATTTAGAGCAGTGCAATTTTCAGCCTATTATCTTAAATGGCCTGAAATCTCACCAGACGTAGCGCATGGACTACTTATTAAAAACACACTGCACCAAAGAGCATGGTATTGTGTTACCATGTGATCCAGTGCAGGCAAAAACTCACTGCAGTCCGTTTGCAATATGTGTTTGGAGTGTTCAGAATACATTGTCACCCGCAACAGATTGGTCACCAAATTATCTGCACGCTTTCTGATATAAAACTAGTTCTTAGGGGTCTTGCACACAGCCATATGTTGAGGGGTACAGCCATACAGAGTAAAATGTGCCTGTTGTGGCATCCAGGAGCCAGAAATGCAGTGTAATTGTGTGCTTTGACATGTATTGCAGAAAACATTTTGCTTGGCTATGTGTGCACAAACGCTTGCAGTCATGTTTTCAGGCATGTGGGCGTAAATTTTCAAAAAACTAAAAATTTTATTTTTCCTACTGGATAACCATCAATAAACATTTAAGGTGATATTGTAGCACCTTACTAAAAACATTTAATGTAAGGTGGACAGTACTGCATGCTTGTACATTTGGTATCAAAAGGAAATAAGGGTTTGCCATTTTCAGACCTACTGATCTAAGGAGTAACTGACTCACCCAATATCCAAGCGCTTTAATAACATCCAATTTACACATTGGACATGTTCTGTGCTCAAGTAGCCATGGGTCTATACACAACCGGTGGAAAATATGCCTGAGAAGAGAAGAAACAAAAAAGCGGCAAACATCATATGGCCATTCATCACCTCATACATATACACACACATTAAAACAAAAAAATAATTACATATGTACAGTATGTGTGTATAATATACAGTGCTCAGCATAAAGGAGTACACCCCTTTTGAAAAGTAAGATTTTAATCAATATCTCAATGAACACAAGAACAATTTCCACATTTTTGACAAAACTGAGTTATAAAGAACATTTTGTTTAGCTCATTACATGAAAGTAAGGTTAATAATATAACTGAGCAAAACTGAAGATTTTGTAATCTAATTAATTGATGCAAAAATGAATACACCCCACAACAAATACTAATATATTTAGTATTTTGTATGACCTTCATCAGTTGTAAGGACAGCACCAAATCTTCTAAGCATGGAATGAACAAGTTGGCGACATATTGCAACATCTATTTTTTCCATTCTTCAAGAACGACCCCTTTTAGAGCCTGGATGGTGGATGGAGAGTGATTCTCAATTTCTCTCTTCAGAATTCCCCATAGGTGTTAGACTGGGTTCAGACCAGGAGACATACTTGGCCACTAAATCAGTTTCACCCTGTTATCCTTTAGAAATGTAACAGTGGCCTAATATGTGTGTTATGGATCATTGTCATGATGGAAACATACATGACGACCAACGGCACAGAGTGATGGTAGTATCTTCTCTTTCAATATAGAGCAGTACATCTGTGAATTCATGATATCATCAATGAAATGCAGCTCTGACACCAGCAGCACTCGTGCAGCCCCACAGAAGGACACTGTCACCATGTTTCACTGTAGGCACCATTCATTTTTCTTTGTACTCCTCACCTTTGCGACGTCAGACAGTTTTAAAGCTAGCAGTTCAAAATACATTTATCTTAGTCTCATCACTCCAGAGTACAGAGTCCCAGTAGTCTTCTTTCAGCATGGGCCCTGGCAAGTTTTAGGCAGGCTTTTTGTGCATGGGCTTTAGGAGAAGCTTCCTTCGTGGAACACACCCATGCATGCCATTCCTCTGCAGTGTATGCTGTATTGTTTAACGTGAAACAATCACCCCAGTTTGGCTTTCTACTTCTTTAGCTAACTGCAGGGAACTTGCATGGTAATTCGCTTTAACCCTTCTCATCAGAGATGAGACATTTCTCTTCCAAGTGGTGCCATTGTTGACAGCATGAAATGGGAAGGGGTTTTCTTTGTTAAGCTACAGCCTTTTATAATCGCCTGCTGGACACCTTTTCAATGAATAATTAGACTGAACTGTAGTTGAATTCTTGTTAATTAGGATTTTGTTGTCAAAGTTTAGCATTGCTCCTAAGACTTTCATTGGGGTGTATTCATTTTTGCAACATGGTCTTGAATGAATTTGTTAGGAAAAATTTGTGTGCAAATAATCAATTCTTGTTTGCAATCAATGGCCTGCTTTTGTGGGAGTATTTTTTAGTATAGTGTCCCATAGAAAATGTTGATTCTGAAAAGAAATCTGGGGTGTACTCATCTTCCTCTTGACAATACACCACAGATTCTGAGGCGAGTTTGCTGGCCAATCAAGCACATTGATGCCATGATTATTAAAACAGGTATTGGTACTTTTGGTAGTGTCAGCAGGTGCCAAGTCCTGCTGGAAAATTAAATTGGCATCTCCATAAAGCTGGTCAGCAGGGGGAACCATGAAGTGCTCTAGAATTTCCTGGTAGAGGGCTGTGCTGAATTTGGACTTGTTAAAACATAGTGGACCAACACCAGCAGATGACATGGCTCCCCAAATCATCACTGACTGTGGAAACGTCACACTGGACCTTGTGCAACTTGGATTTTGTGCCTCTCCACTCTTCCTCCAGACTCTAGGACCTTGATTTCCAAATGAAATGCAAAATTTACTTTCATCCAAAAAGAGGTCTTTGGACCACTCAGAAACAGTCCAGTCCTTTTTCTCCTTAGCCCAGGTAAGACGCTTCTGACGTTGTCTCTAATCAGGAGTGGCTCGACAGAAGAAATGCGACAGTTGTAGTCCATGCCCTGGATACGTACGTGTAGTGGCTCTTGAAGCACTGAAACCAGCCATAGTCCACTCCTTGCGAATCTCCCTTAAATTCTTGAATGACATTTGCTTCACAATCCTCTCAAGGCTGCGGTTATCCCTGTTGCTTGTGCACCTTTTTCTACCACACTTTTTCCGTCCACTCAATTCTCCATTAATATGCTTGGATACAGCACTCCGTGAACAGCCAGCTTCTTTAGCAATGACCTTTTGTGACTTTCCCTCCTTGTGGAGGATGTCAATGACTGTCTTCTGGACAACTGTGAAGTTAGCAGTCTTCCCCATGATTGTGTAACCTACTGAACCAGACTGAGAGACCATTTAAAGGGCTCAGGAAACATTTACAGGTGTTTTGAGTTAATTAGCTGATTAGAGTGTGACACCATGGGGTTTATTTACTAAAGCTGGAGAGTCCAAAATCAGACTCCCTTCTGCATAGAAACCAATCAGCTTCTAACCTCAGCTTGTTCAATGAAGCTTTGGCAATGAAACCTGGAAGCTGATTGGTTTCTATGCAGAAGTGAGTCTGATTTTGCACTCTCCAGCTTTAGTAAATAAACCCCATGAGTCTACAATATTGAACTTTTTCACAATATTCTAATTTTCTAAGATAGTGAATTTTGGGTTTTCACAAGTTGTAAGCCATAATCACCAAAATTAAAAGAAAGAAATTCTTGAAATATACAGTTGTGTTCAAAATAATAACAGTCAGACATCACTAACCTGATCAATCACTGTTTTTGGTAGAAATGATATTTCTACATGGCAAATAATTTACTAGCAGGTGTAGTAGAGTAATAGAAATCCAACAGACCCAACAGTCATGACATGCATGCTGCTGATTCTGTGTAATTGAATCACTAATTGAAAGGGGCATGTTCAAAATAATAGCAGTGTGGAGTTCTATTAGTGAGGTTATTCATTCTTTGAAAAGCAGGTGGCAATTATTGCCCTTATTTAAGGAAGGAAGGCAGCAAATGTTGTACATACTGGTTACAGTGCATTTCTCTCTGAAATTCTGAGGAAAATGGGTCGTTCCAGACATTGTTCAGAAGAACAGCGTACCTTGATTAAAAAGTTGATTGGAGAGGGGAAAACATAAAGAAGTGCAGAAAATGATAGGCTGCTCAGCTAAAATGATTGCAAATGCTTTAAAATGGCAACCAAAACCTGAAAGACGTGGAAGAAAGCGAAAAACTACCATTCAAATGGATAGAAGAATAGCCAAAATGGCAAGGACTCAGCCAACAATCAGCTCCAGGAAGATCAAAGAAGGTCTAAAGTTATCTGTGAGTACTGTTACAATTAGAAGACGCCTATGTGAAGCCAAGCTATCTGCAAGAAGCCCCCGCAAAGTCCCACTGTTGAAAAAAAGACGTGCTGAAGAGGTTACAATTTGCCAAAGAGCACATTGACTGGCCTAAAGAGAAATGACGCAACATTTTGTGGACATATGAAAGTAAGATTGTTCTTTTTGGGTCTAGTGGCCGGAGACAGTTTGTCAGACGACCCCCAAACACTGAATTCAAGCCACAGTACACTGTGAAGACAGTGAAGCATGGTTGCGCAAGCATCATGATATGGGGATGTTTCTCACACTACGGTGTTGGGCCTATTTATCGCATACCAGGGATCATGGATCAGTTTGAATACATCAGAATACTTGAAGAAGTCATGCTGCCTTATGCTGAAGAGGAAATGCCCTTGAAATGGGTGTTCCAACAAGACAACGACCCCAAACACACCAGTAAACATGCAACACCTTGGTTCCAGACCAACTAGATTGACGTTATGGAGTGGCCAGCCCAATCCCCGGATCTTAATCCAATAGAAAACTTGTGGGGTGAGATCAAAAATGCAGTTTCTGGGGCTAAACCAAGGAATAGAGAACTGTGGAATGTAGTCCAATCATCCTGGGCTGGAATACCTGTTCACAGGGGCCAGAAGTTGGTTGACTCCATGCAACACAGATGTACAGCAGTTCTCAGAAACAGTGGTTATACAACTAAATATTAATTGATTCAAAGGAAAGCAAAATCTTCAAACATTTTTCAGTTTATATAGTTAATGTTTGAGTTTGTAAAGAAGAATACAAACACTGCTATTTTTTTGAACAGTCTAATATTCACTTTTCTTCAATTTTTTTAGAGGAACAACACAAATTTGATATATTTTTCTTCATGTTTTGATTTGGAATAGAATGTGTAGTGTTCCCAATGCATTTGTGTGTATGGAAATAAAAGCTATCAGAAGGATTTTGAGCTTTATTTCACTTTTTCAACACACTGCTATTATTTTGAACACAACTGTATATCACTCTGTGTGTAATGAATCTATATAATATAGGAGTTTTACTTTTTGAATTAAATTACTGAAAAAAATTAACATTTTGATGATATTCTAAATTTATTGAAATGCACCTGTATATATATATTTTTATTATTTTTTTTTTTACAATGAAACTTGATGGTTTAGAAAAATAGATATCTTCCTATTTTACCTTATCCACCATGATAAAGTCACAACCAACACTGATTTAACTACAGCCACCCAGGTATGGTTCTTGAAAAACTATCCACACAAAATATAAGAAATTATTTCCCAACTCTCTTGAAAAATTAATACAAACTGTCAGTTAAAAAAAAAAAAAAAAAAAAATTGTAGGTTGACATTCAGTAGATCGTAATGGTCCCTATTCAGTGCTGAGAGAAAAGGACTGGGTAGAGAGAGTAAATCAGATCAGTAGGATGGAGAAACTGTATTATATCCAAGAAGACAAGATGGAGGTTTACAATGGGAGATGGAGGAAATGGGAAGATTTTGTATATCAAACGAATATATGTGAAGCAATGGGAAGCGATAAGTGAAGATTCTTTTTGAGTCTATAGAGAAAGAAGCAAGAGAGCAATGCAGAGTGGGAGGGTGGGGGGATGTGGTAGAGTAG